AGCAGGAATTGAATACAGGGACTCTGTGACCTCTGACTCAACTGCAGTAAAGGCTTAATGCCACCCTTCCCCCTGTCCTGCACTCAAGGAAAGGTGGTCACTACCCTCTTGCCCCTTTTATTTACATTATTTAACACCTTTAGGCTTCTCATGTAAATTAGGGAATACTGCCTATCCCATGAGCAGATAAAAGGACAGTAATACATTGACCTCTTGAGCCTCCACCACCATTGAAGAACTGGACCAGGCAAGAGGTCACTGGAAACAACAGTGGTGATCCTGAACTCTCAAACTCTCTCTTTCTTCTGTTTTTTTCTCCTTTTCGATTTTTCTTTATTCTCTCAGTCTTAGTCTCCTACCTGTTGCCATGTACAGTCATTCCAATTTGCTGTCATATTGATTTGCCATCATATCAGTCATTGCTATCATTTAGATAGTTGTTAAACCAAATTATACAATACATTTCCTTTTGCCTAGTTCAGATTTGATGAGGGAATACACCTAATTCCAGACAAGGGAGTCAACGAATCTGAGCCACCTCTCCCCCCTCCCTTTTGGGCGGGATGTGACAGAACGTTCTCACCATTTTTTTTTCTTGAGATAAATGACCTTCCTAGAAACGGCTGTGGTCTCATCAGATGTTTCAATACTGAAGGTCAATGGAGGGAGCAAGTCCTACCACAGGCCTCAGGCCTTTTCTGCAGGGTGCCAAATACTCGCTACACTTTCACCTCCCAGCAAGGCTTGCCGCTCATCCCAGTGCAGGCTCTGCAATTCTCCCTTTCCTCTACAACTTGGCCATTTATCATTTACCATTTTGTTTTGCCCTCAGGCTTAGCTAGCTGTCAGTCTGTATGCATCTGGCCAAGCCAGTATGAATTAGATGTGTTCTCTGCTCCTCTGCTTGTATCCAGATGACATCACCTTCATTCTTTGCATACACACATTTTCTAGTTATACTGAGGTTTTGTTTTACACTGGCACCATTTTTTTTCTCATCACAGAAGTTCTCAGTTGGTGCCGCCTGGTCTAAAACCAGATGAGAATTTCCAGCCTGGGGATGCAGTAGCAGAGATTGAGATGAGGAAAGCACAAGCTCACTTATTTCCACCTCCCATTCCACTAGAAAGTTTCTTTCCTTTTAATTCTTCTCCATGTACTGTCCCTTATTTCAAGGACTAACAACCAGAGTGCAATATTAGCAGTTTCTTATTACATCCATGTTCCACACACAAAAATAATTCTAAGAGAAGGGAACACTTCCTCTTTGTTCTGAACCCTCTCTGAGGACACCAGTCTGCCCAGTGTACCGTAATTCCCACTGTTTTTCCTGCATCTCAGAAACTTTCACCATCTCTTTCTTAAACATCATGGGCTCTAGCTTTGGGACCGACCCCAGAAGCAGCAATGATTACTGTACTGCTGGAAAATTTTGGAATGAACCTTGATCCCAAAAAGATTTCATCGAACTGGCAAAGCTTCAGATAAAAGTAACAAAAGTAATCATGGGTTGCAGAGTTTGATTTATGAGGAAAGACTAAAAGGCCTAAATATGTATAAGCTGAGCCAAATGATGAGTAAGGGAAAATATGGTAAATGTCTGCAAGTATTTGAAGGGTCTAAACACCATGGGAATAGGCCAGTGTGGGAAGTTTAAGTTCATACTTTTCTTTGTATGTGTGATGTTAAAGTTTGTCTGCACTATTGTTGGTATTTTGCTAAACCTTACAGCCTTAAGAGCTAGAGCTCTTCCCAAACAAAGGCAGAGAAAATTCACCACTAAGAAATCTTAGATTGATTTGTCTTTCTCCTCAGCTATTTGAATATTAATTTGTCTTAACTGAAGCATTACCTTGTCTCATTAGTCAAACAAAAGAAGGGAAATTGAAAATCATGCATAGGGAATAGGGAGGATATTCGTTTTGAGGTATGAGAGTTGTGTATGTAAAGCTGTGCTTTACAAGGCCAAGAACAGGATTTCTTTTTTTCTTTTTAGGATTGGATTGGCTTAAAATATCCAGCTATGTTAACATTGCATCATTGGGCCATTAAAGGAACAGCCAAACTTATTAGCAAAAGTAACATTCATTCCTTTTTTTTTTTTATTAGTGTTGGCCTTGTTTACATAGGAAGTCTGGGTGTTTTACAGTGTGCTAGTAACTGATCCGTAATTCCCTTTGTGACAGTCTGGCCATATTCAGGCATCTTAACTCGCTCTGCTTCTCCACGCCGCATCAATAGCAAAGCTGGGCACGTTGCAGACATGGAGGAGAGCACAGAGAACCAGATTAAGGTCCCCTTCTGCCTATGCTCTGAACTGACCGGATTTAAGTGAGCTCAGCTGGGAAGCTGTGTAGTGGTGTTACCATGATGCTACCTGAAACCCT